TAAGGAGGGAGGTGGGCGGGAGTGAAAGCTACCTAAGCTAATTAATAGAGCAACCGAGCGCCAACAATGCCAAGGCCGGTGCCGGTCCTCTGGGAGTGACCCGCTGCAGTGTCGCCGCCAAGCTCTTGCTCACGAAGTCCTGTCCTCAAACGCACGTCCCCAGCTCGCCTACTTTCTGTTCTGTTCCCGGGTGCTTGAGTGTTTGCTTCCTAGTTCTTTTATTTTAGCTTCTGGGATGGAGTGCCCCCCCACCCCCATTCGATCACGTTTACTCCCTTCCGAACCCCCACCCCAACCCGGACTTCCTGGGAAGGGGGAGGCTTGTCCCTGGGAGAAAGGGAGGAGGGGACTGAGAACTGAAGCAGGAAGAAGAAAGACTTGGGGTGAGGTGAGGAAGCTAAGTGCAAAGAGACAGTGTGGCTTTTTCACCGAGACCCCTAGAATGTGGGCGGGAAGGCCACCTTCAGGATTGCTGAGTTCAGTATTTTACAGACTTTTCACCAGGACCAAATAAAGTTCACAGTAACAAATAAATTTTACATCAAACCAATCTGCACCTTCATCTATATAGAAGAAAACAATAGTTTCACAAAACAATACTTAACCTTATGACCTGTGATTGCACTCCCATAGTTTCTGTTCTATTTGTGTTTTGTTCTGCTTTGTTTTTTAATACTGTGAATCACTAAATTGCTCTGTTAAATGTATGAAATGGCTTGCAAATTGTAGTTTGAAAAATCTCACCCAGGCCACTCTGCCAAAACGAGATGACCGAAGCCCAGAGGAGGAGAACCAAACCTCAAGGTCATGCAGCCAGTTCATGGCAACTGGAACCAGAATCCCAGCCCCTAACCCCTAGCCCTGACTGCCAGCCCAGTACTCTCTCCACTGCCTCACAGGGCACTAGAGCCTCAGCTGTCCATCCCTGGAGCCAGACTCTGGAATGGCTTCACTTGCTCCCAGAAGTCAGGCCTCCACTGCATTTCCTGCAAACAGAAGATAAATTTATGCATTCGTTTCATAAGCACTCATCAAAATCCTACTATGTGCTGGGCCTCTGCTGGGAACCAGGCTCTCATCCAGCCACTAGCCTCAGCCCAATTGCCTTTTCCCCTTCTCCAGACAGAGATGATGAATAGGAAGGTGCTGGAAACACCCCCTTTAGTGGCTGAACTCTGGACTTGTGCCTTCCTTGCTGCAGCCACATCCAGGGGTCCATGTCCTTCCCCTCCTGAGATCAAACAGATAGATGGTTCCCTAACTCAGCCAAGGTCTTAAAGCCAGGAACTGGAAGTCTGGCCTACCTTACCCAAAGCACACGTTGCTTGTTATCCGTCCACATCCAGGCTGGGAGAGCCCTGAGCCTCTCTCTTGTCCCTCTACCATCCAGGAGGACTCAGGGGCGAGGAGCACAACTCATCCAACTAAGAAGTCCAGGTAGGGATGCCACTGGCAGCCTCCTACCACTCGCACTGCTTCTGAGTATTCTTCTGGTCAATGATATCCATGCTGTGTTCCCAGAGGAGCCACCCAGGGGCTCTGGGCCCCTGGTCACCTTCCTCTGCAAAATCAACTCAACTGTTAGCCTTTTCTTTTTTCACAATTAAAAACAATTTTAATAGCATATTTCCATCTCTGCTTTTTGCAAGAAATGGAAATACATATGAGACAGATATCAGAAAATAGGTACAATTATAATTCAGTGAAACGAATGAAAGCAGATTTATAAATGCCTAAAATTAGTCAAACTTTGTTATAGAACAGAAAGAGAAATCTAGCTAATGGCCCACTTGTTCCAAATATTATTAAAAACAGAATTGTCACAAACACACACACAAAAAAACCCATTTTGTTTTGGTTATTTCAACTGTACAGTGGTCCTCGTTAAAAGGGAATAAAGAAAAATACAGAAAAAGTTTTTTTTTTAATTTTGGGGGGAGGTAATTAGGTTTATTTATTTAATTTTTTGATTTGGGTGGGTATTGTTTCCTATAGTTTTTATGTTTGTATGACATATGGATGTATCCATAAACAATGTATGCTATCACTCTGCAGGCTTTTACCTTTTATATAAGTGGTATCACCCTGCATGCATCCTCTAATACATGGAGCAAAGGCATGATAGTCCACTTCCTGACCACATCACAATTTGCTTATCTGTTTTGTCTGTGACCATGAAAGCTCTATCTAGGTTTTGGCTATTACAACAATGTTGCAGTGAACATTCTTGTCTCCTTGTGCAAACACATGGGTGTCTCCAGGGAAAGCCCTGTTCAAACTATGGACTGGGACATATTCATAGGTCATGAAATCAATTTAGTGGATAAAGATCACCATTTTTAAAACTCAACTCTGATTAGAAAAGAATGTGCATCACATGGCATCAGGGTCACTATTAGGCTGAAAGCTGTGTCTGTCGTGAGTATGAGGTGTGTGTATTCTGGATCACAGTGTGTGCTTTTTGAGGATATCTGTCCAAAAGTTTGAAAAACTCTACTCTAGAGTGAGAACTTAGGAAGCAGAATTGCTAGATCACAGGCAAGGTGCATTGCCAACTTCCTAGGAATTGAAGAATTGTGCTCCAAAGTGGCCGTTCTAACTCACCCTCTCACCAGCCACTAGAACTGTGCCCCTGAGCCATGCCCTCACCAACGCTTGGTACTGTCAGACTTTCCAGCATGGGGTTTCTTTGTTCCCCCACTATCAGAGAATATACCACAGGCATCTTGAATTGTAAAGATCTCTCTCTTTTTTGGCCTCCCCCACTAGACCATACGTTCCTGGATGGAGGAAGCTGTGTCTACTTCACTTTGTATTTCCAGACCAGGCCTGATACATAGTAAATGCTCAACACATTTGAACAGAATTGAAATGTCAAAGAGAAAGGGGATGGAGAAAGTATATCAATTATAGCAGGAGATAAAGGGAGACTGTGGGAGCCCCACTCATGGTACCAGGTACCTGCATCCCCAGGTGGGAGGTGGGAGCTTCCAAGGATGCTCTAAGCATTTGGAAAGGAGAACTCAAGGGCCCCAGCCCTCCTGAGTGGCTTGAGTGGGATGCTTTTAAGCTAAAGCCAAGTTCAGGCCCAGGAAGGAGGCTATCACTATCCCCATGGCAACTGGTTTACCTGGTTCAGGCCCCAACCTCAATGGCTGGGTATCCCCAGCACCTACCTCCCAAGGGAGCCTCTCCTAGAGGGAAAACAAAGGGGATGGGACACTCTGGTCAGAAACCCCGAACTCAGGATTTACAGGGAGCCAGTGACTGCAGGGGTCTCTAGGAGGGGAACTGAGAACTGAGGGGCAGGGACTGGATTGGAGGAAATTACTTTTTACCATGTCTCTTTTTTAACTTTTGAATTTTGGACTATGTGGATGTTTAACATATAACCAAAATTAAAGATGTTCACCCCCAAACTCCATGCACCAGCAGGAATTCCTCCAGAAAACCCACCTCTACTCGTCCAATCCAGGCCTGAGAGTGGAGGACGCAGGGTGGTGGTGCTCAGACTCCCTCCCTAGACTCAGAGGGAACACAGCGTGTGTTCTGAGGAGTGTGGACGATAAGACAACTGGAGCACAGGGAGGGGCTACCAGCTCTCAGTCCCAGGCCCCCTTCACCAGTATGTTCCCCTGCCTACCCCCAACCATGACTGCCTTCTAGAGACTTATCCCCAGCTCTGCTGTGTGACTGCAGAGGGTACAGACCTCTCTAGATCTCAGGTTCCTTTTTGTAAACAGAGTTCACATCACCTTTCCAGATTTACCCTTGGCTCTGACTGTTCTTGAAGCTCTGACTGGGACTGGGAAGAGTAGGAACATCTCCCCCACGTGAGCTGTGCCATCTCCTGGTTTGGGGCAGATAACAGGGAGCCCTCAAGGGCTTCCTCTGCCCCTCACTCCTGACAGGCAGCCAGGCCAGAAGGGGAGGGGCGGAGTTGGGCCAGAAGGGCTGACTCAGTACAGCAGCTACCCTGCCCGGTCACCAGGGCACCCCACCCACCGCCCGCTGGGGTTCCCAGAGAATTCCTTCCCCATGCCATAAGCTGCCCTGGGCAGGCACCCCAGCCCACAGGAACCACTGAGCCCCAGCCAGGGCTGCCCTCCCCACGAGCCCACACACACAACACACACACACACACACACACACACACACACACACACACACGCTCCCTCATACCCTCTCATCCACACACTCACATATTCAGCCTCCCAGAGAGCCTGAAAGAAGACAGAACTTGTTCTGTTTGTCGTCCCCCACCCCCACCTCCCAGTCATCAATGCCATATCTATTTATTTCAGACATTTGCTGACCACACACCACATGCAAGGGACTGGAGAGGAAACGGACGGTGGGAATGCAGCCAGCTAACCCAAACACGTGGTCCTAGCCTGGTGAAGAAAGAGATCAAAGAATCTGCTGCTGCCATTCCCACTGGTCACAGAAGAAAAAGTGACCCCCCCTCCCACTGCTCATTTTCGTCTCTTGAGAGAGAAGCTCCCTGGTTCTGGAATCCTGAAACCAAGGACTCCCCCCCACCCAAGTCCTTCCTCCTCCTCTGTCCTGAGATGTTGGCTGGCAGGTAATGTGTGACCCCTCCCCAGGCACCTTCGCAAATACTGAAAAGCAGAAGACCTGGAGCAAGACCACTGAGCCCTGGCTGCAAATGCTGGCCAGCTGTACAGCAAAGCTGCCCCGCCTCTCTGGACCTCAGTGTTCTTGTGTGTAAAACAAGAACAGAGAGCTATGTTAGTGAGATCCCAGCAGGAAACTGGCAACAGAATGCCAGCGGGTGATTAAAGAGAGGTTAATGAATGGATCGACTTGCAGAGGTGTGGGCAGGGCTAAGGGCCCCAGCAAGGGATGGTGCAGCACCCTGGAGTTAGGAATAGCAGAGAGCTGTTACCAGCCAAGGCCTGAAAAGGAGCCAACGGACCAATGGAACAAACAATGAAACTCTCTCTCCTGTGCCCTCCAGTCTCTTACCAGTGCCTTCCATCAGCTCAGAGGACAAGGGAGACTGGGTAATTCAGGCCATAGAGGTCAGCTTTCCAGGACACAGGACAAGCACAGAAGAGTGGACAATGGATCTGGAGGGGTGAATGGAGAATATCTAACTTAAGTAACTACTCGGTAAAACATTTATTCCTCTATAAGTGTCTTTGTTTGCAGAGTCCTCAGAGTTCTCAATAAAGAGACGTGCTTATAGATCTAAAGAAATGAAAATCTAATAGTGGAATCTTATTTTATTGGATGACCAAGGTGGGGGACATTGATGAGGCAGAAGATTTTATGGAGATTTCCAAAAAGCAGACCTCCAAGTCCCCTTCCCAATTTGAGTAACCCACTGGCCAGAAGGAGGAAGTACGGGGGCTGGGCTGGGCTGTACCTGCCTCCCCATCCTTACTGCTCCCCTGAGTTTGGAGTCAGAGTTGAGGAGTGATGGAGGTTACAGTGGAGGCTGTCTGATTACAGTTCTCATTCACACTATGTGGTTACCCCCACCCTGAAGCCCAGGTCAAGACTTTGGCAGGAGCCCCAGAGAAGAGGGAGGCCTCTGTCAATTCTCTTTCCAGCCTCAGGAAGGGGGCCCTGCACTCTCAGGGGAAGCTGCACAGACTTCTGTGAGTGTGTGCCCAGGCCTCTACCCCTCACCTGCCAACAAGGGAGGGGTGGTTCAGAGGAGGGGTACATCAACCTGGTGATCCTGTTGAGAAAGGAGACCAGCATGAAAAGCCTCCCCGGGGCCAGGGCCAGGCAGGAGCAGCCTTTGTCTGGCAGGAGATGAACAGGATGACGTCAAGTCCACCTGGGCTGGGTCCTGGCCTCCAGCCGTGCCCCACACCCACCTTGGCAGGACTGAGGCCCTGTGAGTTGGCCCTTGCCGGGGCTGCCCAGCTGCAGCTCGGAAGGGCTGAAATATAGGGGTTCAGCCACCAAACAGGACTTGCTCCTACACCGGGTTTGCCAGCCTTTGTTTCTGGATCATTCAGAAGGAAGAGGTCGTGCATTGAGGGGTGTGCTGTGCCCTTCCAAGGGGGCAGGGTGGGTCAAGGCCAAGGCACTCTTCTCCAGGGGGAGAGGGAGAGAAAGGCCTGCTGTTTGCCCAGGAGCTGAGCAGACACTGGGGCCCTTGTCCTGGGACAGCGAGGGAGGCTGCTGGCCAGATGGAGTGCAGTGAGGCGGGGGTGGGGTGGGGGTGGGGGGGTGAAGAGGAGGGATTCCAAGGCTGAGCAATCAGCCTGTTCCTCCCACACCCCCACTGAGCTCCTGGGGCCAGCAGGAAGACAGGAGCCTTACTGAGACCCAGAAAAGCGCAGCCTCCACTCCCACCCAGACACGGGAACCTTCTAAGGCAGCCCCGGTATTGCCTTCCTGCGGCCCAGATACTGCAGAAATCCTCCAGGCCTGGACTGTCAGAGCTGGGCAGGCTTCTCTCTGGAAGGGGCTCTCCCGGTCTGCCATGAACAAATCCCGCCTAGGACCTTTGAGGCAAGTGTTCTGTGAGGAGGGTTGCATCTGGTCACCTCACAAATATTGACTGAATCTGTGCTGTGTGCTAGACCTCATGTAGGGCAGGAGGGCAAGGGCTCCCCGAGGGCCTAAGAGCCCTGGTCACCGTGGCCCAGGCTCCTGCCTAGCCCCTGCCCTCCAGCAGACCTTTGACAATGGGTTGGGCCAAGCTGAACCTCAGGAGCCCTCTCCTTTGGTTGGCATTACCATCATTCTAAATGTAGCCACTTCCAGGAGTGGCCGCCAGCATATCAGCCAACCTTCAGTATTTATCCAGGATTGGCTAGAGGAGCAGAGAGGAAGGCCCCCAAAATAAGACATTTGGAGCAGGAGCCAGAAAGGGAAACAATAATAACCAACCACTGCCAACCCTGATGCCCACCCCTAGGTGGTGCTATGGGTGCATTAGTGCCCTTAATCGGCCTTCAGCCCCGTCCCCATTTCACAGATGAGGAAATGGAGGCTCACAGAGCTGAGGTTTGACAGCAGTTAAGCAGCTAATGGATAGGGAGCAGAAATTCAGTTATCTAACAGGTTGGGGAAGGTTGTACAGCTAGTAAGTCATCTCCATGTTTCAGAAAAAGAAAGCTCAGGGAAGTGAAAGGACCTGCTCAATGTCATACAGCTAGTAAGTGACAGAGGTAGGACTCAAACTCAGGCCTGCCAACCTGTAGTTTAATCTTTACTCTGTAGAAGGGTCACAGACAGGGAATCTGGGAGGGGTATCTTTGTTCACTCATGAGTTATGCCTGGCGGAGGGCTGTTCCTTTGCCCTAAGAGACCCTGCCCCAAATGCCTCCTCAGCGGTGGCTGGGAGGAGCCCGACAGTTGGGACAGGGACACCCCACCAAGGCCTGTGCCTCCAGCCTTCACCTCCAGCTGCCACCTAGAGCTTTCCTCTGACTCCACTTGCCAGTGGAGCAGGGTTGGTCTCCCTCCATCCTGGGCCAGGTGGGCCTTAGTAAACAGTCTGTGGGCAACAAACATGCTGCACCTGCCCTGATTCCCGCAGATTCCTGTGCTAACCACCATGATTCATTAGCTCCCCCTTTGTCCGGACAGACAAAATGCACAGCAGGAAAAAAAAGAGGTTGGACAGCAGGGAGGACTTCCAGGACTGTCCAGGATGGGAGATCTGGGGATTAGGCACCAGAGGTGGTGGAGTTCTTTAAAAGAGCAATATGCCAGGCTGCCTGAGTGGAAATCCAAATTCAGGGGTTCCAGACTAATTAGTTTCCTTGGGCTTCTTCAGCTTCCTCCCCTCAGGGCCTGAGTGCTGGGAGTGGGAGCTGGAAGTTTGCCTCCAGAACCTGTTCAGACCTACAACCAGGACCACACCTGCAGTGCACACTGTCCCATTCATAGCCAGTAAGGGTTAGCATTTACTGAACATTTACTACGGTCCATTTATGTCTCTGTTAGCTCAGTTAATCTTCAAATGGCCCCAAGAGAGGCTACAGTTATTACAACCACTTGACAGAAAAGGAAACCAAAGCCCAAGGCCTTTTCTCTGACTCTCCATTTTCCCAATGTCTATTCATCCTTCAAGGCTCAGGTCAAATTCCCCCCTTTGTGCCAAGGACCTCTGCTCTCCACGAGGCCACCACTATTCGGAGCCTAGGCTTTCCAGGCCGACCTGCCACTTCCAAGCTCTTGACCTTGAACAAATGACTTCCCTAAACCTCAGTTTCCTTATTTGTCAAATGGGAGTAATGAAGCACCAACCATAGAGGATCAAGGATCAACCAGTTAACAGACATCATGCCTTACAACCAGTCCCTGGCACCGGGGGTGCTTTACAGAGGCAGGTTGTCACTGCTAAGTTTGTTACCTGTACTTATTGGCTGTTGATTTTACCTCTCAGACCCAACTGTAAAGTCACTGAGGACTCATCTTGACATCTCTGTCTTTTTATTCTTTTTTTTTTCTTATATATACTTTTTTTTCCCAGCAGGGGGAGGGAGGTAATTAGGTTTATTCATTTATTTTTACAGGAGGTACTGGGGATTGAACCCAGGACCTTGTGCATACTAAGCATGAGCTCTACCACTTGAGCTATACCCTCCCCTTCTCTGTCTTGGTTTGGGTTCCTCAGGATGCAGACACTGAGACAAAGATTCGAGGACACATACATGAATGGAGGCGACCAGAGTGACCCCAGTAGAGGAGGTATTTTTTACCAGTTCCTACTGTGGGCGATTGGAGCCCAGTCCCTCTGGGGAGCTCGGGGAGCTGGATCAGTCTCTGACGTAGCCTCTGAGGGCAGGGCCAGTGTAGGCACAGAGATGGGCACCAGGACACCCTGGTCCTGGCCAAACAGGAGGGACCGGGGCAGAGGTGCTGCCCAGAAGCTCACCTGTCAGATGCTTGGCTGGTCACTGCCGTCAGAGTAAGCCAAGCACTTCCTGGAGGGAGTGTGGGCAGCCTGCCAGCTCCCCCTTTGCATTCTCAGAGCCCAGGCAGCCATCTTCAAGGACTCCGAGTCCAGTCCAGGAGGGATTCAGCCTAAGAGACAAGGTGGGAAGACAACTAAGAGAAGAATCAGGAAAGGTTTGGGGACAATGTTTTGATTACTATTGCTGCATAACAAATTATCCATGTGAAACAACAGTTGTTTCATTGTGCTCAAAGTCTTGTGGGTCAGGAATTTGGGAAGGGCCCGGCTAGGTGGTTCTCGGTGGTGGCGGTGGGGCGGGTGGTGTCTGTCATATGATTGCTGTCAGAGGCCACTGGGGCTGGAGTCATCTGAAAGGCTCAACTGGGCTAGACATGCACGATGGCTCCCCGAGTGGCCACCAGGGGGCGCCGGCTGTTGGTGGGAGCTCTGCTGGGGCTGTGGTGCGACTGACTCCACATGACTTCTTACTTGGGGGCTGGCTTATCCTCCAGCAAGTGTTCCGAGAGGAGTAGGTGGAACCTGTGTGGCCTTTTATAACTTAGCCTCCACATTACATAGTGTCACTCCCACTGTACTTTATTGATGGAGGTACTCAGAGCCCTCCCAGATTCAAGAGAAGGACGTAGATCCCCGCTCTCCCTGGGAAGAGTGCCAAAGGATGGGGCCATGTTTTAAAACTACCACAGGTGACATCTCAGAACAGGTCTCTCTCTTCCTCAAAAGACTAGGAATAGACTTACCATATGACCCAGGAATCCCACTCCTGGGCTTGTATCCAGAAGGAAATCTACTTCAGGATGACATCTGCACCCCAATGTTCATAGCAGC